GTTGATTGAACCCTTTGGCTACCAAACGGGCCTTATACCTTTCAATAGTGCCATCTGACTTCCTTTTGGTTTTATAGACCCACTTTGATCCAAGTGGTTTTCTATCCAAGGGTAAAGGAACAACAGTCCAGGTGTGATTGGCTTCTAATGCTTGTAACTCTTCATGCATAGCTTTGACCCATTGAGAAGATTGAGAAGCTTCTTTGTAATTCTTGGGATCAATTTCTGAAGAGATAGCAAGAGTATAAGCCCTGTATTGTGGTGATAAATTGGAATAAGACACAACATCCGATAAAGGGTATTTTGGTCCATTTTCCACAATGATGTTATTTATAAGATTGCAATGATAATCTTGTAGGTAAGATGGTGGTCTTCGTGCCCGAATTGGTCTTGTAGGCTGTGGTGATGGCTCAGGAGGTTGTGATGATGAATGAGATGAAGATGATTGAGGATGTGGAGGCAATGAAGAAACAGGAGAAGAATTTAGAAGAATCCTGATATAGTTGAAAAGAATCATCTATATTATATGAATTGGGAATAACTATGGAATCACAAGGATTGTGAGAAATATTCTTTGATGAATGTGTAAAAGGAAAAATATCCTCCTGAAATATAATATCTCTGGAAACAAAAATTTCTTTTGTTTCAATATCCATCAACTTATAAGCCTTCATGCCCATAGGATAACCAATAAAAACACAACATCTTGCCCTTGGTGTAAATTTATTTCTGGAACTAAGAAGGGTTGAAGCAAAAGCCAAACAACCAAAAGATCTAAATCTTGAAAAATCAGGAGGGCAATTATGTAATTTCTCATATGGAGTAATGAATTTGAGAATTTTAGAAGGTGTTCTATTAATGAGAAAAGTGGCACAAGAAACACATTCAGACCAAAAAGCAGTAGGAACTTTAGATTGAAAGAAAAGGGCTCTAGCAACATTAAGAAGATGTTGATGTTTCATTTCCACTACTAAATTTTGTTGAGGCCTCTCAACACAAGAAAATTGATGAATGACTCCTTCCTTGTTAAAGAATTCTGTGAATGCTAACTCTTTAGCATTATCAGACCTAAACACTTTGATTTTGCTATTAAACTGTGTTGACACCATTGCAAAAAATTTTGGAATAATTCCTTGAACTTCAGATTTATGCTTAAGAAAGTATGTCCAAGTAAATCGTGTACAATCATCCACAATTGTAACAAAGTATTTGAAACCTTTATAATCAGGTACATGATAAGGACCCCATATATCACAGTGAATGAGATCAAATGGTTTATCAGCCACATGATTAAGAGATTCAAATTTCAATCTCTTTTGTTTAGCCAAAGGACACACAGTACAAACATGTTTATTCAAATCTTTATTTGAAAACAAACAACTATCAATGAACTTGAGTTTCTCATTTGCAGGATGGCCAAGTCTTTGATGCCAATGTTGAAGAGACACAACATGAACATGAACTTCTTCAATCACATCTTCAAGCAAATAGAGTCCACTTTCAACCTTAGCAGTGCCAATCTGCTTCTTGGTTGAAATCTGTTTCACAATAGCACGATTGTGATAAAATGATGCTTTAATCATCTTGTTTGCAACTAACATGGACACAGAGATCAAGTTCAACTCAAATTGAGGAACATATAAAACATTTTGAAGAACAATATGCTCATTAATCTTAATGTTTCCCATGTATTCTACTTGTATAAGCATATGATTTGGTAAACGAACTTTGGTTCCAAAAATTCTTTTGAGGTTTATGAAAACCTTTTTATTATTACACACATGTCTAGTTGCTCCAGTGTCTAAAATCCAAATGTTAGATTGGTAATTTCCAGACTCACAAGTAAGAACGTAATGAGTACCTGATTCTTTATCATTAGCAGCAGTAACAGAGTTAATAGAAGCAAGTTGACCTGTAAGAACTGCTATTAATTGTTGACATTGTTGTGTAGTAAGATTAGTAATGGAATCACTTGTATTATCTTCCTTGGTATTGTTGATTGGAACGGAAGTTTGATCAAAAACAACATTAGCACGTGAATTTCCTTGATTAGAACGATAACCCGGTGGAAAACCATGAAGTTTGTAACATTTGTCAACAGTGTGACCAGATCTTTTGCAATGAGAACAAACTGGAGATGATCGATTCTTTGAAAATGATTTAAACCTTTGATTTGAATTTGAGTTACTTTGAACATTGAAAGCAATGGGAGAATTATTGAGAGAAGGAGTACTTATCTCTCTTTGACGTTCCTCCTGGATCAATAGAGAAAAAATACGATTAACAGTGGGAATTGGATCCATTAGGAGAATTTGTCCCCTAATTTGAGCATACTTCTCATGTAATCCCATCAAGAACATCATGGTGTGTTCGATGTCCTTTGCTCCTCCACAAGTACACAAACCACAGATGCAGTGAACTTCAAAATTAGACAATTCTTCCCATAGAACCTTCAATTTAGTGAAATAAGTGCTTACTGAATCATCTCCTTGAGTGAGATTCATCAGATCACGCTTAATTTGAAAGATACGTGGACCATTGCTCTGCTGAAAACGTTCCTTGAGTTCCTTCCAGATTGCAGAAGCAGTAGTCAGATATATGATAGAAGCAGAAATCTCTTTTGATACTGAATTCAAGATCCAGGAAATAACAATGTTGTTATTTCGATTCCAAGCTTTTAAACGATTAACTTCAGTTGACAAAGGTCGTGGTAGATCTCCAGTAACAAATTCAAGTTTGTTCTTCACGGACAAAGCAATTGTCATCGATCGTGACCAAGAGGCATAATTGTCCCCTGTGAGAACTTGATTAACAAGCAATGTACCACGGTTATCAGAATGATGAATGTAATACGGATCATCAGATGATCTAGCCTCATTTTGTGAAGAACTAGGTGTAGAAACCGAAGGAATTGAATCAGACATGATTAGATCTCAAAATCACAAGAAAAGAGATGAAAAACAGAGTATGAATCACGAAGAGAAAATTGAAGAATCAGTGATTAAGAATCACTGATATGATGAATGCGGAAGCACAGAAGAAAAGTGCTCTGATACCATATTATCAGAGTAAGAACAAGAGAAAAGAACCAAAATGTTCATGTGTATTGAATTCTACTCAATGAATACATAGAACAATGTTTATATACAAGAAAGACTTAACTAACTACTAACTCATCATCTAACAGCTAACTAATGCTAGTTAAGTTAATTAACTGTGATTAAACTAACTTCTAACTGCCCGGAGTAACCAATTCTAACAGACCCACCATAACAAACTTTAACGAACAAAAAGTCAATATGACAAAAGTCAACATGACATCTAATAATTAGTAATATATGTTAATTTGAATGTATCTGAGTTTTAAGTTTACGATCATATATTTAATTAGACAAATATTCAATTATGAGGTTTAAGTTTATTATTATTTGAATTAGACAAATTTTTATTAAAAAACATAGACATGACTAGAAATAACAAAAGACGATGGGTACCCAATATTCAAATCTGAATTTACATGATAAATACCTGAGTTGACTGGAAACGTGGACTGGGACTAGGTATACCTGAATTTAATAACTATGGACGGGGGCAAGGATGGAGACTGGGATAGGGCTACCCTTCGGTTCTCCAAAACCGGCTCCGATTGATATCCAGATTTAATGAATTGGGTCTATGTACGTTGCTAGAAAATGACAAACTTTCATGATGTATGAAATGATGTATGAAATGGGGACACAAATTTAATATATGCCAACAATGGTCCAAGTTTATTAGTTTATTTGAAATTTATATTTGGACAATTCGTGATATGATGGATAATGAAATTAAAAATTATGGCTATGTAAGAATAGTAAAATTAACAATGTATATTTTCATTAGAATCAAAAAGTGAGACAAAATTAGGAAAATCATTTAATGGTAGTGTAAAGAAGAACACAAAATAATAATGTAAGGCTTATTTAGAGTACCTACAATTATAACAAATGTATTAGAATTTTTAAGTCTTAAAAAAGATATGACCAATATAGTTATATATTTGAATCTTAATAAAAAAAAGGCAAACTTTGACAAAATATGAAAAATGGTGTCAAACATGTCATATGAGTTATATTACGTTAGAAAATGTATTGGAACATGTTATAATATATATATATATATATATATATATATATATATATATATTAAACTTAGACATGAATATGAAGAAATAGCAAAGAGTAAGAAAGTAGCAAAAGCAAAAGGTCTTGATTTTAGTGCTTGTATTCGGTTCTCAAAACATACCCTTTGGAATGTTTTTGTAAAGGTCAGGCTCTAGTGCATAAAATTGGTGGCTAAACGGTGGTTACAACATCATATTGATGCCAAAAGGGTGGTTGAGAGTTACACTTACATCATCATGATGTCATTAAAGGTTTTTATAGGAAAATCTATCTCTTACCCATTTCTCATATATAATTTCATTTAGGAAAAATCGTCAGGGGCTCTGCCCCTACACCCCCGTCAGAGGTGCTTCCCCTTAGAACCCTATACCTAGGGGCGCTGCCTCTGAACCCCTGTATTTTCAAGTCTATATTTATCACTCAGAGTGTGCACCATTCGTACCTCCAATCTCAGTGAATAAGGGGCGTTGACCCTAGACCCCCATATTCTCGAGTCCACATTTATCATTCCAAGTGTGCATACGCCTCACCTCCAATCTGAATGGATATATTGAACTCAGTCTATCTCGATATTAATACTAACTATACTAAAATATATTGAATCGTGAAAGACTCCAACAATTTTACAGGCCACACAAGTCTCAATATTCATTTTAATATGGATGCACATGATCATGAGTTAAAAACCAAATGAGATTTAAAAACCAAAGAAGATAAGTAAATTATCCCCGTATAAAACTCACTTGAAAAACGAGTGAATGAAATAGATATTAGTATATACTATCAATTTCTAAAACCCTTAGCTACAGTAAAGTTCTTTTTCTTTCTTATTTTGACACGGAAGTCTTTCTCTTTGTTATGTAGACACGAAAGGAACTTCTATTTCTCATTCTAGACCTCAGTATGTTGTCTGATTCTTATCTTTTCTTCTTATCTGTTTTGATTGTGCCGCCCTTCTCCTCCGATAGGACTCTCCACCGCCATTGACTGTTCCTCATGCTTATCGGATATCTTCACTTGATAACTCCTCCGCTCTATTCCATTGTTGCATTCCAATCGAACGATGAGGTCGACTTCTACTACTCCTTCTCACCATTTCAGTTTCTTCCAATTTCGTTTGTTCACCATATGGTTGAATCAGTCGAATCACCATCGCTTCTTCCACTTCTTCACGCCTGTAGGTATACATAACACGCGTATGTCATCCATCCCCACTATTCTCTCGACTTCTGCCACCGGAAGCAAACCACCAGTCACCACAACATCTTCACCACCCCTTTATCCAATACAATATCGGCTCCTCAAATCTCATCCATCTTGAAGCGCAAACAGGCGGCCTGCCACGCCTGTAATTCCCGTTGATGTGTAGGCCTTCCACCGATGTCCGGTGAGACGACGACCGTGACTTTTCCACCCTGACGGCGTTTTCTCAACTACCTAACTCCTTCTAGATTTCATCAGGTGTATATCATGTTTTATTTGGGTTTTATCGCTTCAAAAATCTACTATCATGTTTTATTGGGGTGTTATCGCCTCCAAAAACTACCTATTTAATTCTAATTTGCCTCTTCATGGATAGTTCTTTAGTTGAGCAGCCCAGGTGTTTGATGAAATGCCTGACTCAATCAATATTATAAATAAAGTCTTTTTTTGTTCAATTATGAAATCAAACCTCCGTCATACCCGACAATCTTAATCAGTATGTTGTTTGTACTTTGTGTTTGACTTTCAATATATAATTTCTGTAGGGATTGGTTTTTTTTTTTGTGCGATGCTTTGCAATCAGCGTGAAAGAGGGCTGACTTCTTCCATACCAGCACACCATTGTTCACGCAGGCTTCAACATGGGCATAATTTTTTTAGCTAATTGTTGGTTTTGTTGCTCATCTACTTATTTCATGCCTTTCTTTTTCTATTTCATCAGTAGTAATAACCACTTGCACAAGATTAATCAACTTGGTTTACGCCCAATGGAGGTTGGGACCCTCCCCATGCTCTGCATGTAAACACAAATAATACTCTTATAAAAATGTTTTTTTTTTTTAAATTTCTGTTTATATGCTTTGTTTTTGAATTATCATGTTGGTTTTCACTTCCTGTAGGTAAGTCTGTATCATAAGGCTGCTGAAAGAATACATGTAGTGTCATTTTATTTTGACTGCAAAAGCCTCCTGAAAAATGCGAGTTATAATCGATGTAAAGTTATATTTTACCATAATACCCTTTTGAGCCTACTTATCTTTGTGTTATTTATCGTAAATTTATCCTTTGTTTAACTTATCAGGCTATGAAAAACTATAATTACGATGATGACCCTTTACTACCTTCGTGTGGAATCACTATTGAGAGATAACTTGCTCAAGTTGAGGGTCCTGTTCTTCAGGCACCAAAGGTTTGTGTGATAGGATAGGGTTATTTCCGTAATTTCATATATTCATTATGACATTTTTCTCATTTACTTTTTTTTTTTTAAATTACAGTTGAAGGTTGGTAATAGAGAAAACATTTCTCCTTGTAATGGGCGATGGAACTTTAATAAGAAGGTATTCTATTGTTATTTTGTTGTCGCCATTTTACTTTCAACTTTTATATCTATTATCTTTTTTTCTGCTTTATGTATTTGAATTTCTTTTTTTTTTTTTTTTTTTTTTTTTTTTTTTTGCAGAAGCTTTTCACTCCATTAAAATTGAGAAATGGGTAGTCGTCAATTTTTCAGCCAAGTGTGATGCATGTTATCTTTCGCGGGAGCTCATAAATTGTGGAAGAAATAAAGGTATTGTAGGTCAAAGTCAAAGGTTTACTTTTCTTTTCTTTCCTTTGACTTGATTTTGATTTTTGATTTTTGATTCTCAGATTATTTATCGTCCATTTTCAATAATGGAAGAAGACCCAGAAAACTGAAAGTTTGGACCTGTAGTACGTGTGGAAAAAATAAAAATGTCTGAATTTTAGCAAAACTCCCTGGTGCCCCTCACTTTTAGCAAATATAAATACGATGTTATTATGAGTTACATATTGCTATTATTGGTAATAAAGATTATAACTACATTGCTATGATTCAAATGGTATGTATATAGTTTGTATTCTCTATGCTATACTAAACAATTCAGTTGTATTCCTATTAACTTCTTGTAATTTTTTTGATCAGCGATGACGCGTGTAACTTTTCATTTTACTGATTTCAGCCTCGCTTTTGTTTTCTCTTGTCTCCACTATCAGTTTCTTTTTCTTTTTGTGCTGATTTCATGATATGAGAAACTTTGGTGTGTTTATGTGAAGTTGACTTGTAAGTTTTGAATTTGCTTTTCGGTTAAGATTTGTATGTAGGTCAAAATTTTCATGTGCGGTTTGGATTTCTGTGTAGGTGAAACTACAAAAGGGTATAACTGTATGGCTGGTGATGCTGGAGGTGGTAGCAGCTACAGTTGATCAAACCAGCGGAAATTGGGGAATGTTTCCAACAATCACCACAAACTTATCTTTGATGGTCAAATTCACGGTTTTTTATATCAAGGAATCAATAACGTATAACTTTACCTAATAGTTCATAGTGGGTCAGTAGAGAAAACCAAAATCGATGCCTGATTACTTTGCAAGAAGTTTAAAACTGTTAATATATTGATCTGAAAGTTAAGTGCAATAGTAAACATATGATTATTTGGATTTATAAATATATAGAATTTGTTTCGTGGGTTAAAGTTAAAATGATGAAATATTTTCCATCTTTGTTTTGTAGTTTGCTCAATTCTGGAAGTTTAGACATGGAGTATTTACGAAAAATGAAGTTTTCATACGAAAGGCATAACAAATGTTGTGTAAGCCAATAATATACATTGGTTTGCTTTTCTTTATTAAATCTTTGTTTTTATATATACTTGAATGTTTTTTTAAGGTTTATAATATTTGTTTAATGTTTTTGAAGAATATAATTGAGATTAGTTGAGTTTTTTTATTAGGATTACTACCAAAATTAGGATTCAATGACATTTTTAACCTTTTTCCCTGTTTGTTTAGTTGCGCTTTATAAAAAAATTATATGTGTTTAGAAATAATAGCAACCTGCAAGGTTAAATAAACGTTTATGTAAGATGAATAGATAGATTATTATTGTAAACCGTAAAGTAACTAATAGTGTAGAGATGAGAGACTTACCAAACTTAAATGAAATGCAAGCGAGAAAACACATGGTGAACAATAAAGATAGAATAATTAGACAATATCTTACAAGGGCATTCTGGTCATTACTAATTATACAACATATTTTCTTTTCCTTAATTGCTATTTGGTCTGATTATGGTTGTGATCATTTCAGGGGTGACAATCTACTTTTGTTCAACCATATTTTATCTAACCTGTCTTCAAAGGGCAACGCTTGATTATACGTTTTGTAACTATAATTTGGCTTCAAGAAAAGCCCAACAAGCAAGTATATAAATAAATTTATATATGGTTTTTATAATTTTTTCCTAGCTTGGAGGAGGTCTGAAGGTACAGAATGGCTTGAGAAGTTGCCGAAGGCAGATGGTCTGAAAAAATCGTATCCCGGTAGGCATTCTCTCATTTATGTAAATGACTGAAATACCCTTTGCCCACTGCTGTGCTGTGCTGTGTATAAATTATAAAAGTGGGGTTATGATCTGGTGCAGCATGCGGTTCTTTGGGGACTTGGTTATTGCTACTCCTGATATTTATCAAGTTACACTTGGGCCTGAAGCAGAATTTGTATTGTTAGCAACTGATGGCTTATGGCTTCATTATTTTATCCAAATTTTATTATCTTCAGCTCGGATGTGGTCAACTTTGTTACAAACCAACTTCGGGAACATGTTTGAGATGTGCAGGCAGGTAATTAGTTTCCATGAAATAGTTTTCTAGAAAAACAAAAGTTTATAAAATCTTTATTATTTTTATACCAATATATTGTAGGCTGCATCTGAAGCTCTAGCTCAAATGGCATTGGTATGTAATGAATTTCGTACATATTTTCACCTTTTGATCACGAGTTTCTCACTTCCCTTGACTTCTGAGCTGTTTTATTGCAGGACCAATATTCTCAAGATAATGTAACCATTGTGATTGCTGATTTGGGGTATGCATATTCTTTTTAAAAATAATGATGCAAGTGTAAAAAAAAAATTTGTATCTAAGTTTGATAATTTGAGTTTATGTTGGTGTTGGTGATAGGCGGACGGATTGGGATTTTTTTTTTGTATCCCTAGATCCGGATTGAATTTGGATGTCAATAGACAATTAGATTTGTCTCCTAATCGTGAAAAACGATCACGATCTGAAAACGATGCTCAGAAACTCAAACGTTTGCTTACCGAATTCTTTCCTTATATATATATATATATATATATATATATATATATATATATATGTCATTCCTTATATATGTCATTTGATTGACTGTTAAGATGCTATTAGTAATTTTCATAATTTGGTTAACTTTGATATAGAGTCGATTGTTAAGGCTTTAGCTGATTGCATGATTGATGCGAAAGAAAACTTAGATGGTAATGAATTGCAATCACTTACAGGTGTTTTGAGAAGAAGAAAACAAGCTACTGGTATGGTTTTTTTAAGTCTTTTTCTAATCAAAAATCTAATCCACTCACTCATTGTCTATAATTTCCATCTTTCAAAAACTAAAATCATTTTGTGATTCCAATCCAACCGTGAATGATGCAGCTAACCTAACTTTAATTTATTGCAATGAAATGAAATAAAAAGAAACACGGCGCCAAAGGCGCAACTAATTCCCCTCTAGTTACTTATAGTATTTCATATAGAGTATCCATGTAATGATATAAAACATTCAAAGTATGAAATCATAATAGGGGCATCTCTTCTTAGCTATATAATAAACTCATATCAAAGTGTGGACCAACATCCAAAAAGCTTCTCAAGGCATGAGAAGGACTCATGAACACCTTAGAGCGTAATCTAACATCCAACAAACTCTTCAAAAAATAAAAAGTATCTACAAATACATTAATTACAAGCTTCTCTTAGATGATTTGGTGATATGAGTCAATTTCATCTTCCAAAGAGAAATTTCTATATAGATTAGTTATTTCCCACTCTTCTCTTAACTCTCACACGTTAAATAATGTCAATATATTTCCACATTTATACCGTTTGGACTTTTTAAAGTTCCTATTTTTGACTCTTGATCCAAAATGTTATCGAATTAACATTTTTAACTTAACAACTTTAATTAAACCCTAGAATGTTAATCACTTAAAAATTTACTCCCAAAAGATTGTTTACTAAGCTATGTCAAGGTCATTCATAAGTTTCCATAGTTGGCAGAACTAGCCCTTCAACATGTCCGTCTAGTCTTCTACGTAACATTTCTAGTCTCTTAACTCCTAATTCTACACTCCTAAGTGATAAAATTCTTTTAAATAAGTCAAAATCATAATTAAATTTATTTCTCAAGTTCCATACCTTAATTCTAATTATCATGGGCTTTAATTTTTTTTTTGGAAAAAGAATTTCCCCAACGAGGGTTTTCGGGCCAACTTTCGCGCACCGACTAATTCCCCGCTACGAACATGAGGCTATACCTCATGTCTTGGAGTCACTGTAGACGAACCCCCATGACCACAGAGGCTAAATAGTGTCAGGATTTGAACACGAGTTAATAGTTTATGCACCATATCTGCTACATGTCTTACCAAATCACCACAACCCAACTGGTTAGGATTTTAATTTCGACATTCACTTAACAATCATTTAACTTTTGATTTAAATAATTGAACTTAACAAAAGTTTAAATTATTAAATTCAATTAATTTTATTTAAATTAATTTAAGTATTAATTTATTTTATATTGAAATACACATACATGCATATAGGCCATAACTAAAAGTTGAAAGTTGAAACTCCAATACTGCAAGCTACAATATGCTTTTTATCAGAGACTTCTAATCTCTTTGATCGTTCTAAACCCTAATCGACGCATATCTTCATGTAAATCCTTCTCTTCGTTATCAATTGTTCTGTTTCTTCTTCCCTTCTTCTTTCATACCCAATCTTCTTTTATGTACCCTCATAATATCAGGAAATCTCACAGATAAGCCTTGTTCCACCATCAACATAAAACATGCAGTTCCATTTGTCTTGGACCTGGACTAGATGAATTACGACATCTGGAGAGAACTTTTTGAAATACACTACATAGGATATGGAGTCGATCATCATCTCAATTCGCCTACTGAAGCGCCTCAGTCATACAAAGATAAAGGCAAGAGCACCGCCGAGTCTACGGCTGCCAAAGCTTCTTGGTTACGAACGAATGCAATAGTCAAATCATGGATGTATGGTACACTTTCTATTTCTCTTCTCAACATGATCTTCAAAAAACAGGCATCTTCTTTTGAGTTTTAGGAAACCCTTGAGAAGGTTTTTTTGTGACAATAAAGCTTCCAAAAACATTCAACTTGATAGAGAACTTCGAAACATTAGCCTTGGTAACTTGTCCATCACTGAATATTATAACAAAATCAAAGCTCTTTCAGATCGTTTAGATCACATGGATGCTAAAGTCCCTGAAACAAATATAGTTGCTTATATGATCAATGGTCTTTCACAAAAATTCCGATATATAGCTATAAATATATGCCATCGGGATCTGCCTGTTTCTTTTTGGGATGCTTGGTCGATATTAATCTGTGAGGAGCAACAAATGATTCAAGATGAACAACTTAACACATCCATCACTCACACCGATCACTCCTTTTTTCCAAATGCTCTCACGATTCAATCTTCCAATAATCATAACAATAGTGGAGGGAGAGGGGGTTACCGTGGAGGTTGTGGTGGTCATAACAATCGTGGGGGTCGGGGTAGTTGCCGCTATGGTGGTTGATCTAACAATATTAATGGTGGCAGTTTCCTCGACAATCAACAACGTGCGATAGGAGGAGCATGGATTATGGATGGTTTCAAGTCCATCAACCCACAAATGGGCCATTTCAACAAGGCATTCTGCCAAGCCCCAATGCATCGTCATCTTTTCCAATCCCATCTGGAAACTGGGCCCAGACAGTAGCTCTCTCAATAGCAAACTACCTAACAACAACATCAATTTTTTGCTTCTCCACAACCTAACAGTCCATATTGGCAAACTCAAGCATGCTAGGTCCAACAACCCACTAACGAGCCAACAAATCTTCCTCAGATGTTCAACACCATGTCGTTAAATGATCCAGGACACGTTGATTGGTACATGGAAACCAATGTCACCTCCCACCTTCACTCCAATGCAGGTATACTCAAGTCTTCTTCTTTGACAACCTAGAAAATACTTCATCGGCCATCGTGAATATCTAACAATAGAACGCGAAAATGTAATAAGGACAACCTTGTAACCACCCGATAAATTTTAATATATTCAAATTTTCTTCCTTATTTATGTCAACCTTTAGGCTAAAAAATAAGTACATCAAAAAGTCGCGTCACTTTCAGAGCAGGTTAGCATATTTAGGGGTTTTTTTTGTAGCATCTAGATGATTCATATCTAGATGATGAAGAGGATCTTTATGAAGATGTATCCGAACTAAAGTTGATATCTGTTTAGGCATCTGAATCCCTGCATCTTAATGACGAAAATGACCACTTTAACCCTCTAACCTATTTTTTACATACAAATTAAACATCATAAAATATCCAAATTAGACATTAGACGTCATATAAACATCCAAATTTGTTACATATGGATTCTTATATCATAATATAACAAATTTATAACAATATCTCACAATATTTTTCAAAAAAAGGATCATTGTGGCTATTTTTGACATCCTCTCGGTATCAACCTGTGGTGACATCAAATCCCCAAATACTTCACTATTTCTTGCAATACACTCTCACAATACTTGCTCCCCATACAATGGCCAACAATGGAAGATTGGGTCAAGAGAATATCAACCCATATCACAAACTTCATACAACAACTCAAGGAGATTATGAAGAACAACAAGAATAGAACACAAAAATCAATTTCATACAAACCACATAAAAGAGCAATAAGAACACGATCAAAACACCAATTTTATCCAAAATCGAGCAGTAAGAACACGATTCAAACATTAATTTCGAGTAAAAAAACAAATCAGAAAAACATACCAGATAAGAAGGAGGAGGAGAGGAAGGAGATGACGAAGGCGGAATGGAGTAGTATGTTGGATTAGTGTCTAAGCCCGTAACTATATTTGGTATGTACTTGACCCGATTGTGCATGGTCCTTTTGGGTTGCCTTCACTAAAGCAACTTGACTGGATGAATAATAGAGAAAGAGGTTATTATGGTTTATTAATATATTATAATAATAATATATTAAAAGAGAAATCATATTTATTTATTTATTTAACATTGGTCAAGAATTAATTAAGAATTAATTTTGTGGTCAAAAGAGGTTAATTGAATTAAGGGGACTGAACTTGTAATTATGTGATAGTTGCAAAGTTGGGTAAGGAAACCCTAGAGAATAGGGTGAAAGAATTCTAAGGATAAGGCCTTAGGAATTCGTCCAAGGGGGCTTCTCTAGAATTATCCTTGGGCTGCTTGGTGGCTAAGTAACCAGATAAGGATAATCACTGAAACCCTAATTCCCACACCTATATAAGGAACCCTTGGGCATGAGATTTCGGCGACACTGAAACCCTAGGAGTCTTGGAGCCGATTTTTCCCTCTCCCCTTTCTCTCTTGCTTCATCCAATTGCTTTTGATGTTTGTGATTCATTAGAGGCACAACACTTGGGGTGCTAAGGTTCTCAAAGCTTCAAGATCTACAATAAACAATCAAGGTATTCATCTAACTAGTTTATTTGATATTTAATTAGTTTTGTTGTATGCTAGATTAGGGTTTGCAAGCTTTGGATAAATTTGCATGTACAATAGAGAAATCTAGATCCAAAGCTTTAGGGTTTTGCATGTGCACATAGGATGTTCTTTTGCTCAAAACCCATCAGTGGTATCAGAGCCTTGCTTGGTTTCTATTGTATTTGATGCTTGGTATGTTTTTCCATTGCTTAAAATCGTTTTTTATGCAATCTGCTTGACATACTCGTTGAGCCCAATGAGGTACTCGACGAGTAGGATGAACTCGGCTAGTCCAGTATGGGGCTCGGCGAGTCGGGCTGTCAGACAGACGGATTTTCAGGATTTTTGCTTATTTTGACTTAGGATAATTACCATAACTGTTTCTAATTAATAAAATACGAATTTTATTGATTCCTTATGATTATCTTTGTCCAAATAAAAGATTTTGTCATTTAATTAGATAATTATTACCTTATTTGATAAATCTTAATTATTT